TAATAACCCTGTTTTTTTGTGACTCATCCACATGCCCTGTCTCTTTTTTCTTTATTCTCTCTGTCTTAGTCAATTTCTATGCAGTTTATATTCTCATCAACATTTGCCTGCTCTCCTCTAGCATCCCCTTCAATTCTCTGTTTGCATATGCATATGATCTATACAGACATAATGGTTTTTATACTGTACAAACTGTATATTCTAATCCCTAATCCTACCCATCACAGAAAACTTTCTGCATTGTTACATTTTCAAAAAAAACATAATTTTATATGATTTGTAAGCTGCTTTCCTCATGGGGCCCAATACATATCCCACAACATAGGGAATACCTGAACCACACACACACACACACACACACACACACACACACACACACACACACACACACACACACACACACACACACACACACACACACACACACACACACACACACACACACACACACACACACACACACACACACATTTTCACAACCATAATTCAACAATATCAGCCAGAACATGTGTGATTGTTCCATCAGGTCTTTCTGGCAGAGGCTTCCCTCCTTTATTTCTCACACATGGCTACTGTAAACACGCAGGCGCCAGTTGTAATTTGTGCCAAGGGTCTCTCTGTCTATAGCTTCAGTCCTCAGTGCCCACACATGCCAATCAATGTTTTGTGCTTGGCTCTTCCATTACAGAATCTTCTAATAAAGTAATAAACATTTATTTTTTATTTCATTGCTTTAAATAATGTGTAGAAGTCTTTTTAATTGATGTATCAGTGCACTTTTTCAATAATGAACTATGGGATTGAAAATTACCAAATTTAAAAGCATTTTAAAAGGTTTAAAAAAAACACGGCTTCTTTAGCTAATAAAATATCATTGTCATTTTCATCTTGCATAGTCAGCTTATTCTGGCTTAAAACTAAAACCACCTATTACAATTTGTGGAGTTTGGTCAAAACTGCTGGACATTTGATAGAAGCCAGCAATCAGATTGAATCTGCTGATTTTCGGATATAGTGCTTTCCGGTTTTGTGTGCAATACACTTTAGATGGTCAGTGAACATGGGCGGTATGTTTAAGGCTAGAGAAACGTGCACTGGCCAGACAGTCTGACAGTAAAACTCGCTCATTAGCAGCTGTTGTATGACAGATTGCAGGCCGACTTTGGACCTACTGGTGCGTCAGTTGCATTTGTTTTGATCTACCAATAAGCTGCTAATAGGCATCACCTACAAATGTTTGCCGCTGCTTCTACGAAATCATTAAAATGTTCAGACAACCCACATTGGGTGTTCAGAAATGTGTTATGTTTTTTTTTTGCAACTTGTTAAAGCACCCAAGAGACGAGTGAATATGCTGCAGAATCAGCAGTTCCTGACTGTGCACATCTCTGCATTTTACTCTTAGTTAGAGTGGTCTCCATTGCTGTCAATTAGGATTGACAGATAGCTTGATTAGCTGGTGTAAATGTGCTGTGTTGGTAGTTCAGGAGGAGTCACCAACAAACGTCTCGATTACGCATGTAACCCTCGTTCCGACTGATCGGGATCACGACCAAGTCGAACGTGAGGGACTGAAAGGGAACAGTCAGCAGTTAGTGCTAGAATACCAGTATTTCTTTCTCCATCCCTCTCCGTCTCTCTCTAGCAGCTCTCAATCCCAAGCTTTCACTAGACTCTAGGGAATGAACGGATGGATGAGTGGATATCAGAGGAGGGGGATGAAGGTGAAAGGGTTTTTAATTTTTTAAAGGAATTCAGTCTTCTTCGCTTCTGGCACTTGTGATCTGACGGATCCACACTTTGCTCAACATGAAGAGCAGTCACGTCATCTGCGAAGGTCTGAGTGGCTGAACAGGAGGGTCAGCACAATTCCCATCTGGCCATGCATCTGGTCGAAGGCTGGCAATATGGCATGAACCGCAGCAAATTTCAGCCACTCAGCTATCTTTCTGTTATCACTCTATGCTCTTCCTTTCTATCCATGATTTTCAAATTCATTCTCATCCATTTAAAGGGGAACACGGCAACTCTAGCCATTTCTTCGCTGATTTTCACTTTTGTTGTGGCATGTTTTCTCATCGAGCTCCCCCTACAGCTGTGGGGCGTATATTTCACAACACTGTCGTAAAAAAACTCACTTGCGGCTCCCTCCTCCCCCTTTCTACCGCTGCTCATGTGCATTTGTTATTATCGGAGCCGGCCAACTTTATCGTGTGGAGCTATGTCTACCGAGGTGGTTAATACATCATACACAGTATCATAGAACATTGACATGTATGTCGAATTGCCGTAAAGCAGTTTGTGTTTCTCGCTGACTTCCTATTTCCAACTTACCGGGACGTTAGTCCCCATGTTGTAAGGTTGGTTTTCCGCCTGGGAACGCTGGAGGGAGCGGGGAAAGTCACCATTTTCACCAGAAAAGGTTATTTACCCGTCCAAATGATTTCTAAATGGTTTTATTAAGTTGAAATAGTTGCCAAGTTCCCCTTTAAATGCCTCATTTCCCCTTCTTTGAGCACACTTTTGACATCTGGAACTTTTGTCTTAAAGGGACAGTTCACTCAAAAATGAAAATTCTGTCATAATTTACTTACCTTTATTTCATTCCAAACCTGTGACTTTCTTCTGTGAACAGATAAGATATTTTGAAGGATGTGTTTGCCGATACAATGAAAGTCAATCAGGTTCACAGCAGCATTGGACCCCACTGACTCACTTTCAATGTATTAGAAAATAAAAATCCAAACAAAAATCCAAAATATCTTATTTTGTGTTATGCAGAAGAAAGTCACATAGTACACAATAAATCATGACAGAATTTGAATTTCTGAATGAACCATCCCCTTTCCTACGATTTTTCCTGTATGTGGGAGTTTTTTTCATTACAAAAAATGAGTCAAAATCACAGACAATTCAATGTCTATTGTATATGTGACTTTAAATATAGTATGCATATTATTGTTAAACCATATTTAACTGTGACATAAGATATATTGAAATATTATGTTTACTATTTGCCTACACACATTTTCTCACGCTCTCTCAGAGCTCTTAAGAGTTGCTCTTGAGCATAAGGTTTGGTCAGAACTACCCTCGGTAGGCCGAGAGAATGTGATTTCAAAATACTGCATGCATCCCCATTGAGGACACTTAAAATGTAGGACGCCCCTCAGGGGACAAAAGACTCTAGTATTTCCAGGTTTTGATAGAAAGCGTGCACAGAATATGATAAACAATCTCCAGTTTGATAAACTAGTTTTTGGGTTAAGATTGTATTTAGCCAAAAACAAAAACAAAACCAAAACAAAATTTGGCTTCATTGAGAGTTTACTTCATTTGGATGGAGTTCCAGATTTTCTATTGACTGGTCCTGGCACTTCTCACCTCTACAAACAAATATGCCAAATTGTGACCTAAAATTTGTAGTCTAATTATGCAGCACACTTTTGTTTTCTCAAATGGGTGGGTGTGGCTACATTTGTCTCTGTAGACTGCTATTGTGTCATTGACAAGACGAAATAAGTTTATTTTTTTTGTTTTTTTGGGGTATTGCACAAATGGCTCAGCTCTGAATTGGTCCAGACACAAAACAGGACCTCAGAACTAAAAGCCTACTTGCAGCATTCCGGAACTGTTTCCATGGCTCTGCACAATTGACAACAGATTGAAGGGTTAGTGGGAAAATGAGGCATTTGTGTCTCAGGCTGAATGTAGTAGTGATTGCAGTTAAATGGTTAGGGCAGGGAGAGGAAACGGGACGCTCAGAGCTCCAGGGGGACCGGTCGCCACTCGACTCAAACCGGCTAAAATTGGAACCTGCATGTTATTTAGTGAGAAAAACTTTTCCTTAAGCATTTCATTTTGTCCCAAATGACATGAGGCAATACATAATGTTTCTCTTTAAAGGATTAATTTAGTTCACACCAATAATGTTTTATTTTCTATAAGACTTTTTGCAAGAGTTACTACTACTCATGCACAAATTCTCATTTTTCTTATCAACTGTAAGCATAACTACATTTATGTGATCCACGACTAGTCGGCATAGACCTTAAGTATCAAATAGTGCTAGAACTAACTGACAGTCTGTAATATAATGCAACGTTCACTTTTGGGGAATTTCTCTGACACTGTACGTTGCAAGAAACTCATTATTCAAAGAAGTTCTACTACAGTCAAACTAAAGTTTCAAAGAATTGCAGTAAAATAAAAAAGAAGTAGCTAACTACATTGAGGCATGATTTGTGTGGCACAAAACCAATGAGAATAAAAATTAAATGCGGTTCTTTTGAACTTTCTATTCATCAAATAATCCTGCAAAAGGCGAATAACATATTCCACAAAAATATTAAGCAGCACAACTTTTTTCAACATTGAAGGATCATTGTGACGAGAGTGAGGGCCAGCTGACTGACGTCATGGTGATGGTGGAAGATTTGATTTCAAAGCGAAATGTAAAAGCTCCTATTTGGCAATATTTTGGATTTAAACCCAATGCTAATAGGTAACCTGCAAACATAATCATAAAGAATAACAATAAACCCACCATTTAAGCAATTGCTGCCCCTGAATAAGTGATTTAAAAGCGAGGTGGAAAAGAGAGAAAAACTCAAACTCCCCCCGGTATTACCGGTGATGTTACGTGTCGGTTAACTGGTGGGAAAATTTCCTCACCGTCACATCCCTAATAATAATAAAAAATATATATATAAAAAAAAAAAAAATATATATATATATATATATATATATATAGAGAGAGAGAGAGAGAGAAACAATGTCTTGATTCAAATGAATCAGTGAATCATGTTTTTATCCAGATCATTAAAATTATTCCTTTAAATGAACCAACTCATTACAATGAACCAGTCTTGTGAAAGCCAGAGAGGACAAATAATTTAATGAAAAATGTAGTTAAATTAGTTTAGTCGCTAACTCCCAACATACTGCTCGAAGAATTTAATCTTGACCTGCTAAGGTTTTCTTTCTCTTTTTTCCTCTAGTGGTGAGAGTGGATGGGGGGGGCTCAGCCTGACTCTCCCCAACCTCAGGGCTAACCAGTGAAGAAGAGGAAGTCACGTTATCAATATAACAATACAGAGGAGAGGAGAGATTGGAGAAGGAAACAATGGAGGAGTGAAGCCATGACAGCCAACCGGCAAGGGACGCCGATACTTAAATGACCAGACCTTTGATCCTTTTGAACCTAGCACAGACAATACGTTGTTAAATGGTTCAACAGCACCACATCAATGGATCCACATCAAAGTTAAGACTCACCGGCCTAAAGTAGCTATTTCTAAACACAAGCCTATTACCCGTAAGAAAGTTCACTATAATGTATACTGAAACCCACCACAAACTTTGATGAATGTTTAACATATACTGGGTTTCTCAGATGTATTAATGTGACCTTGTGACACAAACTCTGGATGTCTTCGGCTTCACAAGAGAACATAAAGAGATGGCCATCACAGGCTTCATGGATATCGCGCAATTTAGCAGCCGCACCATGGTTCGTCTACCTGGAGCCTTCTGCCTGATCTAATAAGGATTTAGTTTTTGCCTTATCTTTGAAGTATTCATAGATTTTGTCTACAACATCAAGGCCCTTTATTTAATCATAATTGTATTTGTACCCATTTTCATTCAGCCATTTCCAGGTGTGTTAAAACTTCGGGGGGTTGTATGCAGTTAGCGCATACCAGTCACCATCTTGTTTCAAAGCAGCTGATCGCAGGTCAGCGTTTATGGGCAACAACTCACGACTGTGACATTTGTTGACCTTTACTAATGTAATGACTCAGATCTAAAAGAGCTACAGAACTATTTTCAAGCCATCATGTACTCTTAGAAACAACCACCATGTTAATGTCCTACCATTATTTCAGCCGTATCATTTGTTTTTTTCAGGTTTGATAGGAATGTCTGGATATATAGTTCTGATTCAGATTTAACAGCCCAGGTTTCTTAAACGTTTACATTAATGATTATTTAAGTACTTTTGAGGAAACCTCATCCATCCCCTCAATAATTTGTCTTAACTATTTACTAAAAAAGAATACTAAACAAAAAAAAACATATTTTGCTAGTATATTTTAAAGTTGTTTTAAGTTGTATACTCCAAATGTGTATCTTTAACTACATATTGTCATATTAATAACCAGTCAGTAACCTCACTGACTTAAGTCTTACAAGCCTTAAATAAACAAGCCAATATTAACGTTTTATTTTAAAAGGTTGTTCCTTGACCATTTATATACCTTCAAGAGAGAATTATCTGATGTGCGGATTTCCCCATCATATTTTCAAGGTGCTTGTCTCAAGGTTCATAAAATCTCTTTGTTTCTCTTTTTTTTTTCTTGCTCAGACTCCACAGTCATTGACGCTTACTGTAGCTCTTGATGAGTCATCCTGTCTAGGTTTTCCTCGTCTTTGTCGCTACATTTGTCGCTCTTTCTTTCCCACTCTCTATCTTGGCTACATGATTCATTCCATAAATGCTGATGCAGATTCAGATGCCATAATGTGGTTTTGAATTACACAACTATCCCAGCAGTCATGTGCTGGAAGCAGTCACGACTAAGGGGGAATAAGAAGTACTTTAACATTATTATATCACCTTTAAAGTAAAAAGGAATGGTCTAACGAAACAAACAAGTCAACACTCAACAAAACAAAAACAGAAATACTAAAAATAGACATTTGCTTCCCGTTTTCTACCCATCCAATGGGATATTGCACTCATAAAAAGATGTTAGGGACCTAATACAGATATTCCATAGCGTGCACACACACAGTATCTAATGGACTGTCTTTCGTTGCATTTCTAATGCGCTCACCATCAGGCTCTGGAATAAACATGAGAGGCATTAGTGAGACATTCCTGTCAGGCAGGTCGTAATTACCCCTGAAGCTTTCCGTTTCTCTTCCCCACAGTCAGTTCATTCTCCTGGGGCTCTGTTCAGCTCAGCTTCCCTTCCCTGTAGCTCTGCCTCTCCATTCTGAGACTCACCATCCAACTTTTCTGCTCTCAGTTCCACTAATCAACGATAAATCTACAGGAAATCCCTTTTTGATACGACAAGATTCCCCCAAAAATCAGGTAGCAGTATTTTGGACCATTTCAGCTGATCTAAGCTGCATGGTCATTAGCTGGTTGACCTGCCACTATTGTTCCAAAGCCAACTTGACCACCTTAAACTGGTATGATTAGCTGGTAGTTTTTTTTCTTCTTGTTTTTTATTTGGTGGCTTGCCAGCTACCAGTTTAAGCTGTACTTTCCAGCAGAGCGATTATTCCAGTACTCAATTCTAGTCACAGACTGGTTTGAACTATTACACTCTAATTCAGTTCCTCCTTGAAGTAATGCATAACCTTAAAGTTTGATATAAGAGTCGGTGGAACATCTCTGCCTCCTACTTTTTTGGCAGGCAGGTTGTCTGCTCCATCAGCTTTTATACGGCTTTAGTATCATGCATCTCCCCAGGCGCTGTACTTTCCATTAAATCAGGCAGCGAAGCATATCCATTGGCTTCTGAAGTTGCTTGCGTACTAGTGTTTAATGCACATCAGGGGTTTAACACTCACCGATGTTTGTTCTGATATGAGAGAATCTGATGAGATCAAGATAAGATCTCTTGGTCTGTGTGTGGGAATGCGCTGAGAACAGAATGGGTTGTGTTTATCCCATGCTCTGCTTCTTAACAAAGAGCAGAGAAGTTAGCATACATCAAATAGCGAGAGTTGTGATGACAATACAAAAGAGATCTGAGCGATTGATGCCCCTCAGGGGGATGGTGGTGTGATGTATTATATGTTGAAAATATGGCTATATTTTCATAGATTGTTAAAGTGATTTGTTGTTCTAAAGTGTTCTGAGAATTTACATATGAGGTAGAGCCATTTACCATTTGTTTCACATATAACCCAGACGACTTGATTGGCATCTACAGGCCGTCTATGCATCAATCAGTCAATCAGTAAGCATTTAAAACAATTGAAGTAAACAAGTGGATTGATTCTTGATTCAGTTCCCTAGAATGTGCCAAAAGTTGCCATAAATAAAACACCTCCACACAAAAATGGTTATAAATCTCCATTTGTCAGCCACAAAAAAGTGTATCAGAGGAAAACAAAACTCTTATTTGCCATATATTCACATATATTAAAAAAAATTCCATCCTTATTTCTACTTCAGTAATTTTTTTATTTTTTTTTTATAAAACTTTTTATTTTAAATTTCAAATAGATATATTCTTTGAGAGCAGTATTTTATAGAGACAGTTTACTTTCGTAGCACTTAAAACAGAATGAATTTGAACACTCAAAGAGTGTCCATCACCAGAAAGTGCCTGTGGACTCTGTCAGGTGTCTTTGAGTAATGTTCAACAAGCTTGATTTTGTGTATTATGTTTGTTTATCTATTTCGCTTGTGTGTTCTGCGTTAATTGTATGTGATAGTTTTTTTTGTGTGCCTTTTTTCTTTAGTTATAAGAAAATGTTGATGAAGATTACAAAACAGTACATCATTATCCAGCTAAAATACAGTACATGCAGGTGAATTTAGGTGATTTATCCAAAAACACTGAAAGCATCATATAAATGTCACTGTTAATTTACATCAGACCAGTCTATGCACTCAACTCAGCGCAACCTATTTTTTCAAAACTTTTAGCTCTTCATCCCTAAGCCTAAAACATGGCAATATTTGATAATTTTGTGTTTCATAAATATGTTGATATGAAAAGGGATTGTACAATAACTATTAGATTAAATAGAGACTATGGTATATCACATTTAAGAGACTCAACTTAGGATGTTAGGAAGAACCTCCACATGATGCTTTAGAAAATCAATTCCCCTGTTCGGCCTATCCCTCTAATAGAGCTGAATGTTCTCTGTATGTAATCCATGCTGTACAATGCATTGTGTAAATTGTTTCCTGGAGTTATGACAGTACACTTATATAAACAAGAAATGAAAGCATTAGAATTCTATTAAATAAAAGCCAAATATGACTGCTACAACACGGTCTGTTTCCATCATTTAGCCATGTTTTTCCCAAAATACAGAATTCAAAAAATGCTTAAGAAAGGCGTTAGACACAATGGGCCCTATTTTAACGATCTAAGTGCATGGTCTAAAGCGCACGGTGCAAGTGCACTCAGGGCGTGTCCGAATCCACTTTTGCTAGTTTAAAGATGGGAAAAATGGTCGGTGCGCCGGTTTAAAAGGGTTGTCTCTATTCTCTTAAAGCTGCAGTTGGCAAGTCTGGCAGATTGAGTGGACTTAGGCAAAATTTTGAATGTTTACAGCTCTCATGCCCCTCCCCCACTATCAACGGAGACCCTCCCACCGAGTTCGTGCTCGTCAGTGCGTGTGCACCAGGTTATCTGTGAACGCGCCCGTCTCATCAGCATCCATCAACACCATGGAGTATTTGGAGGTATGCTGCCCTGGCTAATCTACCGATAGATTGCAATTGCTAACGTCATTTATACTCTAAATGAGCTTACTTGATTTGTTAGTGTTTTGAAAGCGAGATACATCCGCCATCACTCTTCGTTACTGCGCGAACTTCAGGCGTGTGCATGTGATTGTAAAGTGCGTGAGGGGTGGCATGTGCCCGATCTGTGATTGACAGTCAGATCTCACACCCCCCCTGCGCTGATTGGACCCGATGATCCGGGAGCTGTGGATTTTTGCAAAACAAATAACATGCTTGTGCACGACATCTACGGGACAAAGTGTACGCGTGTTGTGGACCCGCTTATAGGCGCATATTACTAACGCGCTCTTTAAATAACAAAACAATATTTCAGTTGCCTCAAAATAGCAACGCGCCAACAATGCGCCTGAACACACCTCGTTTTCAGACCAGCACGCCCTTGGGCACACAAATGGGCGCAAATTCATTTGCTATTTAAACAACGTGGCGCACGACATGAAAATGATAACTGTGTCGGCTGAAACTAGCAAAAAACACTTGCCGCATTGCGCCAGGCGTATGATAGGGCCCAATACCTTGAACAATGATTTCTATAAAACATCAATCACTTACACTTTTATCTAAATGATAATGGCTCCAGGGTGTCACATTAGTGAGTCTGAACTTTATAACTCAGATTGTTCTGATTACAGACATCTTCTGTAGGGAAACAATATACATAATTACATTTTTAGACACCCTGTTTTGATTTGTCATATGAACACCCTGGGAAACACCAAACTCATGATCCATGATTGAGGTTATTCAGTGGTCCAACCTCTATATGGCCCCTAGAGGCTTCACAACTTATATTAGCTCCAAATCCAGACCTCTCTAATACACATTAACCAAAACAAAGCCCTTAAGATCTGCAATCCAGCAACAACATGGGCAGAGCATCAGATTCCTTCTGTAAAACAGTGTAACATTCACTTTGCTGGGAATTTAAGCAAACATGAAGAATTACACTTCACTACTTTATTGGCCTTTGAGCAACATATCTAAAGTTCATTTTTGCATTGTTCTTTCAGTGTGAAGGCAACAAATAAACTGAAAGAAACAATTCCAGATGTATGACTGACTAGTAAAATTGACTAGTCTAAAGAAACTTTTTGACAAAAAAAGTTTGCCATGTCACTTCATCTCAATGGGAAGTGAGAACTGTTTTAAATTATGTAATTTTTTTTAAAGTGGGCAGAAAAGCACAGACCACAAAATATGTTTGGACCAAGTGATTGCCAAACCACAGCATAAAGCACATCCATATGCTTTATTAGATCAGGTCTTTGAGTCGCTGCAATTGTAACTCTGCTTGCATT